CCGGCCAGATAACACTGAACTCTGCACGTTTTCTCGTCGACGTCCGACCTCGCTGTGCCAGTCGAGTTGCCACGTTATGTTTTTGTTCAGCGACTTGCCAGAGCGGAGGGCCTAAGCATTTAATCATTTATGTGGAATTATTATCTCCTCGTAAATGCGATGAGTGTCCTTTATAGAATTATAAGTATCTCTGCATCATTCTACGTTTTTTATCGTGCATTTTAATACAGTATTGATAGTGTCGTACTTGTGGTTATTACAAACTAAATCATTTTAAAAGCACAGTACAAATGAATAAATTTATACGACTCAACACCATCCTTTGTTTTCCATCTATAAGAAAAAACAGCAGCACCTGTTTTGACTACGAAAGCCGAAACAGTAGCCGCCTCCTGCAGGAATTGAAACGACCGGGTTTCCATGGCAACTCACATCAGGTGACGGAGAGATGCACCAAAGCGAGAGAAAATTTCAAGATTAAAATCACACCGAATAACCTATGCATGCATTAGAATGTGAGGCAACATGGGGTGACTCGAAACCTAATAACCAATCAAGTGCAGACATCCCCATCAGCTAAAGATGTGACATTCCTCGCGCGCTGTTATATGAGACTGTAATGATATAGGCACTGGAGACGCGCCGCTGTAAAATCTGTAAGAAACGGATATGTAAATTGGTGCTACAGTGTCGAGGCAAAGTGGGTGATCTAAACAGAGTCCGTAAAAGTTGACCTACGCGACGCAGCAAGCAACATTCTTTGGCAGGCACAGAATATCATCATTTAAAGACGAGTAAATAAGTGCTTGGACCAAAGTCTTGCCAAAGCACTCTCGCGGTTCACCTAATTTTCCTTATTGTATCTGGCTTGGCGAGCATAATCTTCAATATTTTTTTCTTGTTTAAGTTACTGGCTGCTTGGTCTACTCTTTACTCGATAACCACTTAATATATACTTATCTTCCGCTTTCAGTCACACTCATAATATCTGTCACCTCTTCGTCACCCGCTCGCTTATCGTGTCTCTGATAATTTTTTATAGATTTTTTTCATTATATATATATATATTTTTTTAACTGGTTGGCTCAGATTATATTCCTTTTCTCGCTGTCATGTTCATAATTCTTAAGCCTAATCCAACACCATGTCTTCACTCACCTTTACACTTTCATTTTTTTTTGTTATGCAACCCGATTTGCTCCAGACTCACCGACCTTTCCTGTGCTCATTTATGCTTATTCTTTACTTTCTTCTCTACTTCTTTCTTCTTTCTTCCATCCTTCGTTCTTCATCTTCTCCCTGTATCCACTCTCACTCACAACGACGCTTTTGACGATCAATTATGCTTAATCTTACCTTACTGTTTACATTACTACTCACTCCTTTCTGCACTCTTTCACCTTTCGTCTTCTTCTCTTGTTCCTTCCCTGTTCCCAATTTCACTCTCTTCTTATGCTTATTCTTTCATTATTTACTTATTAACTCACTTTCACCTTACTACTTACTTGCTTACTTACTTACTTTTACTTTCTTCCTTGATTCCCCCTCCGCCTTCTCCACTTGTTTCTTCCTTTCTCTCAGTCTTACTCAACCAACTCTTCTTATGCTCAATTATGCTCAGTCTTTACTTATTTACTTTACATCTTATTTGTCTCCTCCCTCATTCTCTTTTCGTCTTTTCTTGTTCCTTCCCTGTCCTCAATCTCACTCAGCCGACGCTTCTTACACTCGTCTATGCTTACTCTTTACTTCTTTATTCTTTCCTCTTTCTTCTTTTCTCTTTCCTTTTTCTTCTTTCTTCTATTTCTTTCTTCTTTCCTCTTTCTTCTTTCTTTTTTTTCTTCTTTCTTCTTTCTTCTTACTTCTTTCTACTTTCCTCTTTATACTTTCTTCTTTCTTCTCTCTTCTTTCTTCTTTCTTCTTACTCCTCACCTCCTTCTTCCCTCCCTCATCCTCCACCTTCTGCACCTGTTCCTTCCCCGTACCCAATCGCACTCGCCCCCCGGAGCCTTCCGTCGGCCGCTGTTTAAGTTTCTTCTTATCACCGAGATCCTGTGTGACGTCAGCATCGTCGGTCTACAGATGAATGGCTGGAGGAGGGAGGGGGAGGGAGGGGGGGAGGGATTATAATACAAGCCGATTGGGGGGGGGGGGAGGTAGAAGGGGATGGAAGGATGGATGCATGGAAGGGAGGGAGGAAGGGAGGGAGATAGGTAGGGTGGATGGATAGATGGAGGGAGAGAGTGAGAGAGGGAGTGAGATGGAAGGGAAGGAGGGAGAAAGGGAGAGTGGATTGAGGGAGTCATCAGAGATGGAGGGAGGGGAGGAGGGAGAGAGAGTGGATGGAGGGAGTGATGGAGAAATGGATGGATGGAGGCAAGGATGGTGGGAGGCAGGGAGGGAAAGACGGACGGACGGACGGACGGACGGATAGAGGAGGAGAGAGAGAAGGAGGGAGGAAGGGAGAGAGGGAGAAAAAGGAGAGAGGGGGAGAGAATGGCACCAGCGGCCATGATAAAGGACGCGAGAGTGATTGGCACTCCAAGATCAAGGCACAAAGACTGTAAAGCTCCGTGGAACAAAGCTTCACGTAAGATTGCTTGCGTGGAACGAGTGATATCGAAATCCCGACGAGTCGAAAGATGGCCAAAAAAAAAAAAGAAAAGAAAACTTACAGACATACTTGTTTACAGTTTTGCACGCCATCTTTTCTGAAGCTTAACCTCCCTCCTTGATCCGTGACGTAAACAAAATACGAAATCCCTTTTCCATTAAGTTGAATTCCGGCCAAAACCTGACTCGCTGGTGGTAGCGGCAACAGACTCCCGATTCCCGAGATAAAATTCCATTAGAGAATATCATTTCCGGTAAATCCTAGTAGGAAAAGATCTCAGCGTTTGGTAGGACTTGGAGTAGTTCCCATGAACTAAAGTCTGGCGGGAGACAATGGAACAAGGTTAAATGAAACTTATATTCCGCCCGAGTTCAAGGAGAGTCCCGCTTTTTTTTTTTTTTTTTTTTTTTTTTTTTGTGTGTGTGTGTGTGTGTGTATGTGTGTGTGTGTGTGTGTGTGTGTGTATGTGTGTGTGTGTGTGTGTGTGTGTGTGTGTGTGTGTGTGTGTGTGTGTGTTGGGGTGTTTGTGTGTATTTGCTCCGGCTAATTGATTCGAAAGTTTATGATTTGGATGTTGCGAACAGAGAAACAGTTTGCGAAGATGGGGAGGAGGGAAAAAATGAAGGAGTTTAGATGCAAAGTAATGTTGGTGACGCGTGAAAAAGTAGACAAAGAAAACAGAATAAAAGAAAAGAAAAAAAACGTGAAAAATAAAGATAGCAAAGGAGTCCAAATAAGCAATAACACACAAATCACAGAAAAAGAGAGTGGCAAAATAAATAAATAAATAAAAGGGAGCACACAAAGAAAGGAAGGTTAGCCAATCTAGCAGCGAGCCGTGATCACCTCCCTCCCTCCCTCCCTCCTCCTTCTTCCCTCCCTCTCTCCCTCCCTTCCTTCCTCTATCCCTTCCTCTCTCCCTCCCTCCCCCTCCCTCCTTTCCTCCCCTTCTTCCTCCCTTCCTCTCTTCCTCCCTCCCCCTCCCCCTCCCTCCCCCCTCCCCCTCCCTCCTTTCCTTCCTCTATCCCCCCTCCCCCTCCCTCCCCTCCCCCCTCTCCCTCCCTCCTTTCCTTCCTCTATCCCCCCTCCTCCCTCTCTCCCTCTCTCCCCCCTTCCTTTCCTTCCCCCCTAACCCCCCTCACCCCCAAGGAAACTTAGACAACACACAATTCCTTGGGCTGACGTGAGGACAGCATATAGAACATGGCGACTCCCCTTAGCCTGTCGACACTTGGCAAATCCGCGCCCGAAAAAAAAAAAAAGTTTAGCTCCCCGACGGCAGAGTACAGGCATCCTCTCGTGCGTTTCCTTATCTCCCCGTTATCTCCCCGGCGACAGCGAATCCCAGAGAGGCGGGAAACATTTCTGGAAGCGAGGAAGGAAAGCAACAGAGGTCTTGAGTGCACCCAATTTCTTGACGGAGCGAGATGTGTTCGAGTGATGGCGGCCTCCCACCGGTAGATATATTTCGTTGAGTTATTAGTTTTTATTTCTCTTGTTTTTGGGGAGATCTAGGTTTATATCTATCGTTAGAAATCGGTTATATATGGAAAAAGAAAAAATATACTGATCATAACAATGATGAGACAATGACAAACAAACAAAGAGCAGCCGTGAGGATAGGCAATAAAACCCCCATACAATAGGATTAGGGATGAAACCGGCGGCAAACAACCTCGTCCCCGCCTCTTCCCATCCCCCTGTCTCCTCCCCTACCTCCCCCTCCCCTACCTATCGCATCCCTCCATCCCTCTCCCACCTCCGTCTTCCTATATCCTTCCTCTCGCTTTCCCTTCCTTCCCCCTACCTCCCTCTGCTCATCCCTCTTCCCATCCCCCTGTCTCCTCCCCTACCTTCCCTTAGCGTCCCCTACCTCTCATTTCCCATCCCCTACCTATCGCTTCCCTCCCTCCCTCTCCTACCACTTTCTTCTTTTAACCTACATCCTCCTTTCCTCCTCCTTCCTTCCCTTCCGTCTTCCATCTCTTACTTTTCCTTTCCCTCCTTTCCATTCCCTACCTCCTCCCTTACCTCCTCCCCCTTCCTATCCCCACCAACCCTTCCCTACCCCCCTCCCTCCTCCCTTCCCCCCTCCCTTTTCCCTTACCCCTTCCCTCCTCCCCTTTCCCTCCCCCTACCTCCCTCCACCCCCCCCCCTTCTCCCCGGCAAGGTGGCGCCGTCCCCGATACGTATTTTCCACTTGCAGCGTCGCCGCCGGTCGATACGGAGGTGAAATTAGAATTAGGGAAGGCATTTCCTCGCAAACCTTTGTAAATCTGACACATCTGTCTCCGGAACAGCCGGGCATAAACTTATTGTTCTTTCGTTCGCTTTGGGGAACAATGGGCGGACCGCGCCGCTGAAACAAGAACTTACGTTGAAGGA